TCTCATAATCATATGGTGGTTTTGGGACGTTAAACCCCACAAATCAATCGAATTCGGGTTAGTTGCCATGCGCTGAAGTTGATTTATGTAGCAGCACAAGGCCAGCGTCCTCGCGAGTATCAGCGCTTGATACCAGCTTCTGGTGTCGCTTATACGTATGTTCCAGTTGGCATCATTGCGCAAATGCAAACAACTGGTGATATGAAGATATGAAACTCTTCAACATATCTTGTGCGTGCACTATTTGTACATATATTTAGCGCCATTTCATCACGTGTCGCTCAATGAAAAAATGCAACACGGTCACTTTCCCTCTGTATGCTTCGCCTAACGTCAATTGCCAGGTACGCTGGGTCCGCTGATTTTTTTGCAGCAATCATATCAAGCTCAAACATGAAATAATGATTTGAAAGCATGACCAACACATCATTTTTAATCACAAAAGTAATAAACTTTTCACGAAGCCAACGTGCAATGTAGTGGATGTGTTGTTCACGCCAAAGGACATGTATGTTCGTCTTCAAATCATCAAATTTAAACTAGTTGACATTGTTCGCAATTTTAGTAAAGGCTAGAGAAGCACAATTATTATTTTCAAGCAAATTCGGATCAAACCTTGCCTCTACACGGCAAAAGCTCGCGTCACAACTGATCAACACCTCATCGTGAATGAGCCCTGTCATGGCACTGATGCTGCAAAACAAGCTAGAAAACCGCTGACATTAGAGGCTCGACCAAAATCAGACAGTAGTATACTACAGTGTAACTGCCTACAAATATTCAATAACATTAGTACTCCTAATTGTTTTGTGTACGCGCTGCTCCTGCTTCGAGTCATTTCGTTGATTTTCTCGGAACTTATATTTATGGTAATTTCCCGTATTCCCACAGTCACACCTTTTCCACCAAAAACACTTTTTAATAAAACTTGACAGACTTCCTTATCGCACTGTAGGCGTGCATTCAATCGCAATGAGTTAATCGCACCGCAAGATTTATTACGGCGACCTCTTGTAGGAAGGTGCTTCTAGTGCTAGTGCACACTTTTTTGGTTATTAGATGCAAAACAGCTCTTTGACTACTTGTGTAACGCTGTCTCTCGGTCCGCACCACGCTGCCCTAGCCTCAAGTGTTGGGGCGGTGCCAAGTAGGTCTTTCCTAACAGTCCACGTGCATTGACATCACTCTCTCCCTAGCCTATCGCCGCTCGCTGCATGTTATCTCCCTCACTTCACCCTCTCCACCACTCGCAACGTTCGATCGCTTTTCCCTTTCCACCACTCGCAACGCTCTAGCCCACTCCGCACGTGAGCCACATCTCGCCCGCGACACCTCTTTCGATCTGTCGGCGATAAGAAGCCGCGAGCCGGTGAATGCGCACGCTGCGCGCGCCTCGAAACTCTCGTGGCACCTACAATGTAGACTGCACGCCGCTGCTTGCCACCCGATCGCGCCGATGGGCAGGACGCCGTCGCGGCATGCTTCCCGCCGGTGTGCGCGATCCTTTCGCGGCTGTCACCGGCGTTGCGAGGGTTAGCGAAGCCGATCACGTTCGTGAATGGCGACGTCAACACCGACGAGCCGCGAGCCAGGGAAGCCGAATGCAAGCATCGGCAGTGGAAGACCAGCGACACCAACGAGCTGCGAGTCAAGAACACCGATCGCACTCGAGAATACAAACAGTGCGCGGGTAACACAGACGAGACGCGAGCCAAGAAAGCCGAGCGCAAGCATCTTCAGCGCGGCTCAGCTCCGATGTTTTTGCGTTTCCAACGAACGTTTACTCGAATAAACGCTACACCGAGTTTCACTTCAAACCATTCTTCCAGCACCCACGGCAGCTCCCGTTCCAACCAGGTCAGCGCAGGGCGCACAATTTTTGCTTCGCATCCCATCAGGGTTCCTTTTGTGGAGATGGTTCATCGTTTTTATTCCCTACATTTTCATATTCATCACATCTCATTTTTTTATTACACAGAACGAAGCATCTTTTAAATGCCTACCTTTTATTGTCGATTCGAAGCTTTTTACGTCCCGAATTATTGCCAACTTATCAAGCGTTTAGTGCAACTTTGAGGAACAGGAGCGTCTACTCTTGCATGAACCCATTTCTTGAGCAGCCCCCTGGAAATGGTGAAAACATTGTGAGGATTCTGTTTTGTTGTGAAATCAGCTGCAAATGCGCAGGGGCAATTTTGTGGTGCCGTCATTATGTATACTGATCACGGTGTTTGCCTGAGGGTACTTTTGAAACTGTGCAAGTCTTTGATCGCTACTACACTTTCAACATGTTCTTTCCTTGTAGTAGATTACAATTTTACCTTAAATACTGCCATTTTTATCGCTTAGCACGCACCTGTTGATTAAGCTCTTTTCTCATTAGGATCGAAGTTGTTTTGTCACTTTAACCCTTTGCACCTCTCTTTATAATATAGTGTTTTTTGTATATTTTGTACTTCTCAATTCAACATTTTTGAAAGTTTGCGCATAGTTACTGCAATACATTTCCGCCCATTATGTCTAAATTTCGTGCTACGTCTGACAAGACCGTGAAAGTTAACATTCGTTTCTCAACAATTTTTTTAAATGCGACGCATTTCTTAGCAAACTTTGGCGACTTTGACCGTATCTATCTATCTATCTATCTATCTATCTATCTATATAGGCGCTCGCACTTGGGCGTTCTCGTGGTCACCCCCTTAATGTGACGTGAACCAAAATTACCATGGGAGGGTAAGATGGTTTGACGAATATGATGCGCTTGTCAAGACATCAGTAATGTCACAATCCTGTCGCGTACGTCGTACAATCCTGTCGCGTACGTCGTACAATCCTGTTGCGTACATCACAATCCTGTCGTGTACACGTCCCTCCAGAGAGTGGCACATACCCACGGGCGGTTATGTGCCACTGCTATGTGGGTGTGTGCCACAGGTGATTGACGCTTGGTATTTACCCAGGAACGATGAGAACACACAAGGACAACTTTAACGCGTTAGTGTTAAAAAATACGCGACGTTGGTAGCGTCGACCCGATGAGTCCCAGCTGGAATCGAACCCAAGCATTCTGGGTGGCAATGAAGCATTTTACCACAAAGCTACGCCAAGTCTCGGAACTACTTTTCAAATAGACGCTACTCTTCATGAAACGTTATTATTGGCTGCAGTGCTGCCTACCGAACTTTATAGTACTATTTTGATACAGCCGTCACGTCAGGTTAACGTCAGATGTGGTTAGTTGCCATGCGCTGAAGTTATTTTATGTAGTAGTGTCTGGGGCCAGCATCTTTGTGAGCAACAGCGCTTCATATCAGCCTCTGGTGTTGCTAATGCGCATGTTCTAGTTGACATCATTCTGCAAGCGGAAACAACTGGTTACAAAAACATCTGCAGCTCTTCAGCATATGTGCGTGCGTGCAACATTTGTACATATATTTAGCGTCATTTCATGACGTGTCGCCCAATTAAAAAATTGCAACGTGGTCACCTTTCCTCCGCATGCTTAGCATAACGTGGATTCCCAGGTACGGGGATCTGCCAATTTTTTTTCAAATTTTAGTACCAATGACCGTGATTCTTGTTCTTTACACACACACACACACACACACACACACACACACACACACACACACACACACACACACACACACACACACACACACACACACACACACACACACACACACACACACACACACACACACACACACACACACACACACACACACACGCACACACACACACACACACACGCACACGCACACGCACACGCACACGCACACGCACACACACACACACACACACACACATACACGTACGCACACGCACACACGTACGCACACACACATACAAGCACGCACGCACGCACACTTTCTATCTCTGTTTTTCTGTGTGTGCACGTGTGCGTATGTGTTTCAATATAGCACAGAAAATATATATCTCAATTAACATTGAATGCAGGTATCCATCATATATATAAAAAATAGGGCAACTTCTTGACACATCTAGCTTAAGCAACTGTATATGTGTACTCAACTGACAGCCGACAAATACATGCGCGTCTGTACAAAAAGTTACAAAAGCTTTCCAGAGGCAGGACACCATGAGGAAAATGATTGATGATTGATATGTGGGGTTTAACGTTCCAAAACCACCATATGATTATGAGAAACGCCGTAGTGGAGGGCTCCGGAAATTTCGACCACCGGGGGTTTTATAACGTGAACCCAAACCTGAGCACACGGGTCTACAACTTTGCGGCTTCATCGGAAATGCAGCCGCCACAGCCGGGATTTCATCCCGCGACCTGCGGGTCAGCAGCCGAGCACCAGACCACCGCGGCGGGGCACCACGAGGAAAATGAGTTTTCTATTAACGATGTATTGAACCAAATGAACTTTTTGAAACGAACCCGTGGGAGTGGGTAATGACGGTGGTAACCCTATTAATATTTCTCACGTTATTCATTTTTAGAAGAGTTAGTGTAACATAAACGAAAAGCTTGGGTGAAATGTACGTTACCGCAAAAACCGAATGCGCCAATTCTCACTGCCCTTCCAATAAATTGTTTTTTCGAGGGTGTTACTCATTTCCAAATTATGCCAGCCAATGGATTCTGTTTTCACAACGAACGGTAATGACGTATCAACAAGCCCATTTCACCACCCTTCTAGGATGCAAAGCATAGAGAAAGTCAAGTAGCAATGGAAAAGACCCCTGTCGGTGGAAAGGACAGTACGAGTTATCGGGCAACGCGGCTACCAGGGGACGAAGACGTAGCTTATCTCGGCACCTTTTTGACCGTCGCCAGACAGTGGTCATAACCGTAAACGTTAAGAGCACCAATTCTGCGTCAACGTTTTTGTTGAGACATGCTTCTGCCGGCCAAAAGCATTCCCCCTATCTTCTGCTCCTGGCTTCGTTGGCAGTGGCTGCGGTGGTGCGGCACTAATCGGCCACCACCAATTAACGGCGCAGGCTTAGGGTAGTAGCTGAATTACCCCCCTATCCTCCTCCCGCCCCCACCCGTGAATTGACCGCAGTTCAGAGTGATGGCAAGTGTGCCACTCCGCACTAACGACCTCAAAGCCTTCATTTGCCCGCCAGGAGCTCAGATCAGAAACTACCTCGTCTTGCTCGGCTAGGTTCTAACACCTAAGGTGAGCCTGCACAATACGAATGCCCTTACATGTGTGAAATGAACAGTGAATTTTGTTGTGCGTACATTTACCATGTAGCATTTGGTGTCACGAGTTTTCTCAGTACACCAGAATAATACGGTAAGGTGGACATTCAATAGCGCAATCCGAAGTTGACACTATCGTCGAACAGATCTTCCACAAAATTTTGTGAGAGATCTTTTCAGGCGCAGTTGTGAAAATTTGTCAATATTTTCAAACGAATAATTCTCTTACACTGCAGGAGGCTGTCTTCCCACATTTTCACTTAAAAAAAAGCACAGTCTATCGCTTCCGAGTTCTGTTCAGGACATTGGCGTGCGATCCCTTGATCACAAATGTACAGTAGGCCAATACTTTAGCTATTGTGTGCAGTGGCCACTTTTTCGTCTGACAGCGCCATATAATGCAGCAAAATTACGAAAACATGCTTCGTGGAAATGTGCTTTGTGAACATGCACTTGTCCGCATCTTTTTTGAAGCTTGATTCAGTCGTATGGCAAATATACACAAAAAACTGCCACTCGCGCCCAATAACTAAATAATTCGCCGACTGTACATCACCTGTGTTCATCAGCATCAATTCTGGACTGAAATATTACTGTGGGTTGAATGCAAAGAACATAAATTCAAATGTTTCTTCGGAGCCTGCAGTGGTCTGCCAGTATCAGCAGCCTCAACTACCTGGCTCTCATCTGTTCAATGCACGGGTCTTGCGAGATGCATTTTTGAGTAAAGTCACTATTTAATATAAGTTACGATTTCTACATGTACTCTCATTTTTTGATTGATTGATATGTGGGGTTAACGTCGCAAAACCACCATATGATTATGAGAGACGCCGTAGTGGAGGGCTCCGGAAATTTCGACTACCTGGAGTTCTTTACCCTGCACCCAAATCTGAGCACACGGGCCCACATTTCCGTCTCCATCGTAAATACAGCCGCCGCAGCCGAGATTCGAAACCGCGACCTGCGGGTCAGCAGCCGAGTACCTTAGCCACTAGACCACCGTGGCGGGGCAGCTCAATTTTTTTTTCTATCAGTCATTTGATTGTCATTTTGTATTTCTGGCCCTGATGAAAAACTTGCAAAGTATTTTTAAATTCATTTAATTGACCTAACTAAATATGCAAGCCATTCGCTTCAAGCTGACTTTCTAAAACATGCTTCAAAATGTGCACTACACACAAATGGTGGATATTGCTCTTGGTGTAGTGCGTGCGATATCTCTTGCGAAAGACTACTTCAAGTTTGAACATAGTATATTATTTCGCATACAGCAACTGTAAATATCTTTTGATACATGCTTCAAAGTGGTTTGTAAATAACAAAACCTGAAGGCCCTTGTATAAAAGCGAAATTGGAGTTTCCGCTTTTAATGGTTGCTTCCTTCCTTTTTGCGACTAACATTTTCGAGGGCTTCTGGTGCCAGTCAGCTTAAATATCACATAGCTTCGAATAGTTGTATTCTTTTGCATTTACAGCTACAAACTCGAGTATTTCTTCACAGAAGCTCTGAATGCCATAGTGCTGCCAACTCTCTCAGTACTTCAGTACTTCATGGTGGTTTTGGGACGTTAAATTCCGCATACCTATCTATCTCTCAGTTCTTCAGAACTATTTCGCCACGGCCTTTCGAGTTAATTGTCGAGCTATATAATTGTTTCTTTATTGAAGTCTGTTTTATACTTCGGGGTCGGCAATGGCTTGGCAAAACTTTCAAGCGGAACTCTTCCCGTACAATTCAGCGTTTCTAGTTTGACTGAATGTCACGGCTTTGATTTCCGTAATTGGTGCACTTTTTTTTCGTTGTTCCTAACTTGCATATTGTATGCCCATAAAAAAGCATGGACACTAAAATATCACCTGTAACTTTTCTGTTGCAATAGGTAGCTAAGGGCCCGCTTATTACGGCTTTCAGGCTCATTTGCTCAAGTGTGCTACGGTATGGTTGGATACGGTTTTACAGCTACCAGACACACTTTCGCTTTCCGAGAGCGCTGACGGAAGTGGGAGCAAGAGTGGTCTCTGTGTGAACGAAGCTGGCTACGCGGGCCCACAAAACCACGCACACGTGAACTCTGCGTTGACAACTCCTTGCAACGAGGGCGTCCAGGATGCTGCTATAATAACCTCTGAGGCGTGTTAAAAATGCTGCCCCTTGAAAATGTCCTCCCGTAAAAAATACATCAGCCAGGCTCGTAGCCAGGGGTCAGGGGGCTAGGGACCCGGGCCCTATCCTAAATTCAGATAGAGGGGTGTGTTTTACCGAAGAAAACTAACAGCTCCCTCCGCCCCCAACCAAGAAATTTTCTTGGTCCGGGCCTAACATCAGCCTTTTTGTACTCCCGTTCAAGTTTGCTCCCTCTTTTCTTTAGAAACGTCTGCCAGGAGGGAGCATTCGCAATGATCATGGCAGGCAACAGAAACTTTCGATGCAGGTGGTCGTTGGTTGTTTACATGAAAGCTAAAGGCACTTTCCCGTGCAGCGGCACGACATACCCTATTAAATTGATTTTCAATATTTTCTAGGCTATATTATCGCTGTTATTTCGTAGATGATGCGTTTGGGTATACAAAAATCTGTCTAAGAAGTTACCTGACATTCATGATTTTGTGTCAGTATTCATTTAAACATCAGCAAGGTAATATGGCAATGTATGTCGTCCAAGTTATAGTGATGTATTTCGCTTGTGTGCCTAGCTATTCTACCACTTAGCGTAAGATAGCTCAGCTGTGTGAATCACTGTCAAGATGTCTATTAGCCATAGAAAGCTATTACCTTTCAAGTTACTTCTGCGATTCCTGGAAGACGAAGTCAACTCCCCTGCTTCATGGTATAGTGGTACAAGTAATTATGTCGTTTATTTCGAACGAAATTATCTGCTATCTTTTCCTTCTTCGCCATGATAATATGTTAGGGCACTTTCCTGATAAAGAACCGCGTCTTCTTCTTATGAAATGCCTCGATATGAAAAACGAAAGGCAATTTAGGTGAAGGTAATCTTGGCAATCGACGTTTGTGTCTGTGCAATTCAGAAAAGCTCAGCCTTCGTGACTTCATTTTTAAGACCCTGTAAATTGTCCAAGCTCATGAGCCAAGGTATTGGCGTTCTGGACTCTTCCTTAGTTTCTCTTAATGCACTTAGATGACCAACCAATTCTCACGAGAACGACAGAATGAAACATTCATTAACCGAGGCAAAACAACATTCTGGCTTGTGTTTTTTTTTTTGTATGGACAAAAAGTGTCTTCTTTTATGCCTAAAAATGTTTCATCACAGAACGCTTTCAATGATTATCATCTCAAAATGAAAGAAAAATAAAACAGGCTTTTCTAATTGCAGTGTCGGGTGTCTTTGTGTCACAAGTACTATAAATTAGTGCTCCTCAGGATGTTCCTTTTCGCAGAGCACGAAGTCCCAGGCTGCGAGCTGGCATGGAATATTTAGGATTGCATTAGATAGCCTTAATTTCTTCTTCGTTCCGGCGCTGGTATAGCAAAGCCTCACTTTACCTAAGGCAGTTATGCTATCACAAAAGGATAGCTAATAGCCCAGTGTACATTAATCTATAGTGGGTTTTCAAATAATTATCAGTTTACCTGCATTATTTTAGATGGCAAGATAGGAATAGCAGGAAAAATTATGGCAATAAGTTAAATTCTGTCATATAATAAGTGCGATTAAATACAAAACCCAGCTTATTCCAGACGTCCACGCGACAACCTTGCGTTATATCTCAGGTTTCTTTCAGAAACTGCGATTGTAGACGGTCAGAAAAGACTACGCTGTCCCGGATACATGAGGCTCGAAAGCAAGGCGTGCTTACGTGCAACCGATCATCTCCAAGATATGCAACCAGGCGCTGTATTTTCTTCATTTTCTTCAATTTATCGCTGCGGGCATTACTGACGCACTTGATTCTTGCGAACAGCTACCATGAACTTCTAGCAATAATTGCCTGTTGAATCCCGAGTGCAAAATTTAAGGTTCAGCATGTTCTACAGGTACATGTTTCAGTCACAGTACCATCTCAATGGCTGAATGTTTCAGGAATCGATTGATAACTTAGAACCATTTTTAATCTCACAGATCCTTATTGAAGATGCGTGATCCGTAAAAAGCATCGGCCCCAAAATTTAGACGTAGATAATTTTTTTGCCATGTATGAAGCTCTCATGGAAAATGACACGGAAGTTCTCCGAGAAATCTGTGTGGTTTTCCTTTATAGCTTCGTCCGACGCGTGGGTCACGTTATATCTCTTTTACTGCAGTGGTTCAGCACGTATAGATAACACGTGCCCGTAAAAGTGTTTGAAGTTCTCTTTTTGTGAATATCTTTCAGTTGCTTATACAAATTAGGTGTTCGAAATTAACTGTCATGAAGTCACTAAGGCTTTTTTTTTTTTACATTTGCGCAGCAAGGCTAGCAGAACTTCACTTTCGATAAATTGAATTTCCGGAAGCACATCAGTGGTAGCTCATAATAATGTTTTTTTCTTCTGTAAACTGAATAAACTATACTGTAGTGGCCAGCATATTTAAACTAGATTAAATAAATTTTGGTAAAACAAATGCAATGTTGTTCTCCTAATTTCATTAACAGGTCAGTAATGCTTTTTTGCGAGTGGATGAGTGCGTGTGTGCGCGCAGCCGGTATTAAAAGCTATTGATGCGTACCTTACAAGCTTTTTGTTCTTCAATGTCATTCATCCTAAAACATTTACATCTTTTTTGCCACTCAAAGCGATTGTGGCATGTTACTTCAACATTTCTTACAACAATAAGGTTATATACATCAGCAAATGTGTTTGGTAAAAGAACATGTTTTTCGCCATGAATATTTATGAGATTTCAGCTTTCTTTATTAAGTTTCATAACAAGACGAGTTTTGTTGTTACACTTGTGCGTTGAAACGTCACGATTTGATAATTTCCGGTCCGCGGTGATGCCGAGTTGTGAGCAGGGCAATAATCAAGGCAAAGAAAAATATTTAAAGCACATGTAATAAGTCTTTGAATGGCAACTGATAATTACAATCAAAGAGGGCTAGTGACATGAACAATGTTTAAATTTTGCAGAAGGTTTAAAAGAAAGACAAAAGTAGGCTCTTTCTCGAATTATTCATGGCAGCGATCAATTGACATTATCTAATGAACCTTTATGTTTTAAGGCTAGTCTCTAAATTTGATCCAACATTTTAAGCTCCTCAGCGGAGATACAGTAATTATTGAAAGTAGGATGTCGTCAATAATCACGGCTTATTTTCATTACAAAACTAGCAACGGTAGCATATGCGTCCACATTTATAAAGCGGTTTGATCGCAACGTTCATATAGTCATACATATAACAGGAGTGGTTTGCGTCGGCTTTATTCAAAAGCTAAAGCGCAAGAGTACTTTTGTTATTACTGGTCCTGGTTCATGCGTAACTATGCTTCGATATTACGAAAGAATAGAAATACGCTTCACAAACCAATAGGAAGATAGCCTTGCGCGTTTTTTAAATTTACTTTAACCTGGCAAGTACAAGCAGTCCTTCTCCGGCAGTCGCGATCGTATCGCGTAAATAAGCCTGTCTGCGTGGTCCGGTTCCACGTGCTCAAGCGAACTCTTTTTCCGGTGCTACGCAGCGAACTTTGGTAGATTTTGAACAGAAGCTTTTGTCGCATCCTAATTGGGTTCAAGCTATCTTCATAAATGAGGCTTCTAATGGAGCAGAATGGAGGTAGATGGGAAAGGACTGGCAGGTATCCGCGAAACCTTAAACAAAAAGCTCAAGCTCGAGCTGACATATTCAGCATTTTTTTTCCCTAAACGCGGGCTTTCAGTTAGATTATTTGATGGTTATTTACAGTAAACTCACCATGTGCTACAAAGTTAGGAATAAGCTCGCTGTATGCTACAAGTGCTACAAAGTTTTCGCCTGGTGTCGGTAAATTAAAAGGATGAATTTAAATCTCTTCATTGAGTGTTTATTTATGGAGCAGCGCACAGAGACAAACACAAAGAGGAACGAAAGAGACACTGCTGCACTCGAAACTAGTTTATTTCGCAGAAAGAACGTGGCTGATATACAACATGATTATGTACCACGTGTTACAATGACGATGAAGTTACAGCCTAATTTCACCAGCCTGGTTCACTTTTGATCCAATCTGACACAGACTTTTCCGCCCCGCCGCCGTGGTCTAGTGGCTAAGCTACTCGGCTGCTGACCTGCACATCGCGAGATCGAATCCCAGCTGCGGCGGCTGCGTTTCCGATGGAGGCGGAAATGTTGCAGGCCCATGTGCACAGGTTTGGGTGCACGTTAAAGAACCCCAGGTGGTCGAAATTTCCGGAGCCTTCCACTACGGCGTCTCTCATAATCATATGGTGGTTTTGGGATGTTAAACCCCACATATCAATCAATCAATTGACACAGACTTTTCCGAGTTTGTTTGGTGCAGCGGTAACGATCGAGATAAAACGATAGATTTCGGTGCTCTGTTAAGAATGTTCCTATACATTTGTTGAGTGTAGAACTGTAGTGGTATACTATGTGCCCATGTAATATAGAAGGAGGTACATCGGCCAAACAGGCTGGTGAGCAAATACAAGGCTTACAGAGTGCAAGAGAGCATTGAAAATAATGCTTATTCTCCCATTTGACGGCATTGTTTAGGTCGTGGCTGTTCTCCGCTGTTTCCTGAGACTGAAATACTCACAAAGATCAGCTGACCAGAAAAGGTATCGAGGCATTGTACACTGCGAATAAAAAGATAACTGCATTAGCCAAATATTGAATAATTTAAGGGATTGTGAATTGTACTTTTTTGAATATATGCCATAACTTGATCGTCGTTGTAACACGTGGTACATTCATGTATATTAACCATGTTCTTTCTGCAAAATAAACTAGTTGCGAGTGCAGCGGTCTTTCTTTCGTTCTTTTTGTGCTTGTCTCCGTGCGCCGCTTCATAAGTAGACATGAACTACCACCAACTTGCCCAACTTTTAAAGTTGCTGTTTGTCGAATGTTGCGACGGGAATTGTTCGCATGTCTGCCCTTACTATCATTCTTATATATTCCTATACAAGAAACAAGCATTGTGCCTCCTTTGGCGTACTTTTATTGTGTAGAGACAGTTTTAGCTGAAACTACCCGCAAATCAATGTTTTACGTTAGCGAATGGTACATAACACTTCAGAAACCTTAACGCCCACACTGAACATAAACGAGAAACGACGGGTCCACTTCGGATGACGTTATATAGGACAGCTCTTTTCTGTTGTTGGGAACATCCAAATGCTACTGTAGAGAAGATATGGTGCTTTGTGAGCAAATGACGGAGAAACACCTTTTCTTGCTGATACCAAGAAGAACATTACACAAAGAGAAAAAAAACAAGCCAAAGAGCTATATACTCAAGCTAAGAAAACCTACGTTCTAATTAAAGTCCCCGCCTTTTCATTAGCTCATGTTGGATTCGTTTTAGGTTCTTTGAAGGGCGCCGCTGTCCGCACGTCATAATGGATCCAGAAAGAGGATCCATTTCTCACGCCGACGAGGATGCATCGCATGACCACGATGGGGCCCCTCGAGAAGATAGCCACGCACACCAGAACGGCCAACCAAACAGAGTCCCTGAGGAGGTTCTGAATGAGGGCACCGAGCTGTCTGAAAAGGAGCCGCTTTTCGCCCACAAGGTGAGGATAAAGTAGGAGTGAAGGATACAAGCATTAGTTCGGTGTATCATAACGCCTCAGAGAAAGGCTATCTCGAGGCACCACGGATCGCTCAAAATGTTCCATCAGCAATTATTTTTTATCAGCTTTTTTCACACAATTCGTGGCGGCCTGTGCCTTCATTGACATCATCCGCACTTAGGGAGCATCAGGTACCCACTTTCGTGAAAGTATGGTTCTCATTTTTCAAGTTTTTTTTTAGGTCTTAGTGGTGTTGGAGCATAAATTTTGCGCATGCCTTCTGACTGGTTGAGATTTATGTTATGTGAATTTATATTTCTAGTCGAACAACTCACAAAACTATATTCGTTACAATTAGAATATTCAAATTCATGGGCATTTAGGAGAAGTCTGAATGGGCTTTATGATATAATGATATGGATAAAAATGCTACGTTGTTACGGAAGATGTGAATGTTTCCAGTAGCAAGGACAGAAAAAGAGGTTGTTTTTTGAGAGTAAGAAACATTTTAAATTACATGACAATGAGAAGCACTCTAAGATTAAAAAGTTGAATAAAAATTGATTGATAAAGTGAACAAGGACTACGCAAGTCAAGTGAGAAGTCAAGACAAGCAGTCACCACTGTTTCGTCAGGGCAAGATTGCAGAAACCAAACCACGTCATTTGAGTAGTACAAAAAAACACACATAGTCGCTACAACATGCCACATATAAAAGTCTTCCTGTTTTGGAGCGTTTCCATGGGGCGTTCTCTCAAGCTTCTTGCATTTATCACGCCATAATTATTCTCATCATAGTGACACACGTAGCTGCATATAGTGGTGGTATTAGTTCGAAAGCTTCGTAAGCATCAATAATTTTAGATATTGTTGTGTACATTTGCCACATATGCCTTGTAACGGACCATCGACCCCGTCAAGCTGTTTGACAACAGCTTTTAGTCGATGGTATCCGCCAGAATCTTTGTATTTCTGGAAATAAATCTATCTAATCTAATGTGCGCTACAGTTAAACAGGCCGGTTTCATTTCAATGTGTGCGTTCTCTTAATGAAAACTTGTGACTATAGGTGACAAAAGTGGTCTATTCTCACTCATATTTGAACAGTAACTAGTTTGGATATGTGTCAGATGGAAGTGGCGAACACAGCTTTCTATGTTTTGTGTCTATTTTCACGAGAAACAGGTCATACAAACAGAGGGGGGAGGGGCTGTGCATCATTTGTTTTGCTACTGAGAAAAACAAGTTCGAGTGAAGCATACCTGCTGGCCTAAATTGTAAAGCCATCCCAATTAAAAGAGAAGCGTGAATCTTCACAGTTTCCTCGAATGTTTGTCTTCTGTGTGAAAACAGAGCTTCAAAACGTCATAAAAACTACAGTCGAGGAAGCACTCCAAACGTCGCAACTTTATGCAACCAGGATTTGGCAACAAGCTGCCAATAATAAGCACCAATATAAATAGCATGCTTGAATTTGTATGATTTGTATGAACTTGTAAGAATGATTGTCTGAAGCACGTTTACATACGACGTGTTAAATTGTTTAAATAACTCGTCAAATTACAATGCTAGTCTCTTAAATATACGCTTGTTCTGAACCATCACTGCTATGCTCTCTGATTTTATGCATATGCATGGAAAGTACGTCTTGTTACTCCCTAATTTTTGGCTACATGCTTGTGTCTCACAGGAATCAATCACGGGAGAGGACGTCTTTGACTTCAGCAAAGGAACTCGAGAAACCCAGAGTCCTGGGAACGGCGAAACACATCTAACCTTCGAAAAAGAACCGGTAGGTCTGGCGTGAAATATTCAAACAGTAGCACAGACATTCTAGTGCACTATTGAACTTCATACTTTAAGGAAAATAGATGAAGATGGTGCCTCCCGTCTGAAGAGGTTTCTTCACTGCATTGCAACGACGATCATACAGCTCAGCTTGCCTACTTCCGTGGCCAATACTTTGATTTCATGCTGTCTGGTTAAAGCGCCAGAAGTCGGATGTGAAAAATTGGCTCACAAGTAGTGAACCTGTTTTCATTGCTTCAATGTTCAATAGCCGTCGTGTTAAACATGCGAACAGGTTTTGGCCGATTACAGTCAGTCAGACAAAGAACTAGCTTTGCAGTACCGACGTCACCAATAGCAGCGGCGGAGAGATCGGCGTCGTATGAGCTCATTTTTCGAGCGAATTTCGATTTCGCTGAGCCTGAGTAGGCAAGATGCATAATTGCATCCCCTTCACGAAGGCTTGTTTATTGCATATTTAAATGCTTGTCAATGCAATATTGGTGACACGCTTCGACAGAAAAACGCATCATGGTGGTCAAGTACTTACGGTGCTCCACTGCAAACCTGAAAGGCACGCTATGGAATCCCGGCCGTGGTAGCTGCCTTTCGATGGAGGCGGAATGATAGAGACGCGCGTACTTCAATCTGGGTGGACGTTAAAGAAAACCAGATCGTCGAAGCTCTCATGATCATATCATGAAACCCTCATAGACACTCATGATCATATCATGGTTTTGGGACATTAAACCACAACAACCTTATCATGTATTCGAAGATGCAACTATAGACAAAGGCGGTAAGGTTAATCACTGACATACCATTTGACGGGACTTTCTTTTCTAACAAACATAATTTCGCATAATACTTCTTTTGAGGCTGTGTTGTACAGTGCACACCCAAAGTTTGGTACTGCTACAAAAAGTTATAACCCCCTCTCCCTATATTGGCATCTCCATATTTGAAGACTGGATTTCTTTGAGCGTGAGCACTGTCACCTGCAAAGCTGCAAGTACTAACCGAATGCATTCGCAAAAGCTAAAGAGCTCCTCGTGACGCTCAGTCATGCTACAGTGCAAGCTGCAGTGCAGCAGGCGCGTAGCAGGCCCACGCCGTGGGTGCTGTCAGCGTTGACAGTCGCGGAACCGCTTCGTTTCCTGCTTTTCAGGGACTCAGTGACGGAGATAAATCGCAGTCAACACGAGCTCTTGCCTAAAAAAAATCATGGCACCAGTTTCGTGCTCCTGGAACGCCTTGCGCAGATCCTTGAATCGATCTATCTTCTGGAACACCCGGGTGACGACGCCACGCTCCGGTGGGCCAATCAGATCATGAACGAATCGGGTTCAATCATTTTCGCGTGCTTGCCTTGGTTTGTTATGGGCTTTTGCGCCTTTTCTTTTGATAATACCTGCAATATGCGCTGAAAGCTACGCAACGACGAAAAACGTCGCGCAGTAATGTCAAATAAGTCGAGATTAATGTGCAGTGTCTCAAAATACACCCACTCACACCAATAGAAGCCCCTGAATTTTCAGATGCTGGTGCTGTCTTTATACTTTATTAAGTATGAAGGTTGGCTTGCTTTAGCGGAAGCTTTCTTGTTAGGCAAACTGATAGCAACTACCCTAGATCTTGGTTGACATAATGGAACCGCAGACACGATATATCATGAAACATTGTATCATGACTACACTTAGCTTGTTTCATGACCCTCTTTCAAGAGTTTCTTAATATAAAAGAGATGTTCATTGACTTAACTATTTATGAAATTTGTTTGTTAGTATAGTATGCTCTATCTCTCACTACGTTTAGCAAAACTTTGCCGGAACAAAAATGAGATTGCAAGACCATCCGGATGAAGTGCCACAAAAATATACATTTACGTGCAACACAGTTTCACACTGTATCTCCATTTTCCTCGTATTAACCTTGCTAGAAGGACGCCTTCACCCACTATGCCTTATAATAAAATTTATATCTCAGATGTATGCATCCGAGATACCAATTTGATAGGTTCATCAAGACGTATTTTTCTACAGTGCAAGCCATGGAAAGGATAGCTTACGATCATTGTTTTTAGTTGTTCAGATTACATTTATTTAGGGAAGAAAACGCAATAACTTAAGTATGCCATGGGTTGTGTAGGAGCCCCCTGCAGCATTTGTCTTCTGCGTGGAAGGAGAAGAAGAGTAGTTTACTGTACTCGCGGTCTACTTTTCCGGGCAGTGAAGAGAATGCAACCAGGCCGATGTTGTCGTGCGCCAACACTGGCTCGGTTACAGTCTAACAAGAATAATCTCACGATTGCGGCCGTGATTTTCTCGTGAAAAGGCATAAACAACAACATTACTTTGTTTTCTACAGGATACTGCTTTGAAATAGTCAGCACGCACCAAGACGATTTTTATATTTATATTAGCTTCTGCATCGTGATTTTGCAATTTTGCACGTGAACACGTTCAACGTTTTACGTGCACCTCAAAATCAAAATAGCGTTTTCGTATTTAGGTGAGCACTCGTCGCCCTCCAGTTGTTCCGACGGCTCGCTGAATAAGCTCAGGCAATGGTACGGCCGTTATTGAAACGTGAGCCGAACTGAACTACTTCGCGGAAGAGTACATGTGCAGTAGCTTTATTCCCGTAGCTTTCCCTTCATTGCCAACAAACTTTGTCCCCAATTATGGAATGTGTTGTCGGACTATAGTTGGTTCATTCTGAAGAAAGGTGAAGGACGCAACCGACGTATACGAAAAAAAAAGGTACTCTATCTGGTTTTCTTTCGTTTTTTTTTTCGTCTACGTGCGTTGCGTCCTTCACTTTTCTTTAGAGAAGAAATGATAGAGAAGGACACGCAGGGAGCTTAACCAGTCCAGAAAAGCCAGTTTGCTACTCTACAGGTGGGAACGGGATGGGGCAGATTCAAATAGGGAGAAGAACTGGTAGAAAGAGAGCAAATATATGGCACATATAACAAAGCACAAAAACAAACATGCGTGGAAGTTTTACATTTGGTAAATATGGGCTATTCTGCCGCGACATTTGCAAACAAAAAATATCTAATTTGCTTGTTGTTGGAAGAGATAAAAAAAATTGATATAACAGCTTGTTTTTAAACCTGTTGAGGGTCCCTACCATGCTCTAAGACGCATTCTCTTATCTACCTTGAACTATAATGTCTGCGAGCAACATCTACTCCTTTCCTGATCTAAACACGTTTTATGTATCCTCTCATGTCTCCGCTTCTGCACGCGTAGTTTATGATAGTGTTGCATACGTTAAGTCAAGCGTTCTGACGCGTAAGCCAATGGAACTGAAGTACAGGCGTCTACGCGTGTCACCTTCTGCGCCAGGACACTATTCGTTTCACCATGAGAAATATTGCGCAGGTTCTAGCACAAAAACCTGCGTCCTTTTTGTGCCATGCAGCAGCTCCGTATTTATTTTTATGCAGAATCGTCAATGTATGCACGACGCATGTGTGTTTGGAACACTGCAATCAGACTGCGGGTGTTTAATTCAATTACCCCTGAAGTTTAGCTAAATCCTAACTGGCGAATTCAGAGTAAAAGCCGAGTGTAATGTACTCACGAAGAGTACAATTCAGTGGTCACATTTCTGCTCAGTCCTCACAAGAACAACAACATTTTACAGAAACAGTTTGCCTTGCCGCGGCTCTATTCACGTACCGTATATGCATATTTTTATTTGCATGCTGTGCAAGCGACAGCGGCAAATAAACACTAGTAAGGTAAAACAAATAAACAAACATCACTTCTGAGTATCATATGACACTCGTGACTGGGTTTCGTTTATAGTGGCATTGAGATGCTAACGCAATAAAAGGGCTTTCGCAAAAATTATTTGTTCGCGCAACTTTCCGGGCAGCGCATCACCAGTGGAGCGACGGGTGTTGCTGACAAATGCGTGGACAACGGCAGTGGTCGGAGACGCAGCTTCGATCGTTCAGCCAATACTCCAACGAAAATATCAAGCGGACGTTTCTCAAGGCGAAAGGGGCTGCGAGGGACATGATGCTGGATTGCACCCTGATACGAGGCAAAATCTGCCTTTTCATACTAGAAAACTTCGGCCGCACAGAAGTACAGCCCAAGACCTTGTGATGCCCTTGAGGACCGCTTGCTAAGTTGCTTGCCGCAGCACCATGTATTTTATGCATATATGAGGTCTGACTTGAAGGATTTGCAGTAAAAGTCCCTGGTTCTAAGGGTTTGTTTATTCGCGCAAAAATGAAACGGCGTTCATATGAAGCCTATTGGGAGTGAGGAAGACCACTGGAAAGGCCGGCGCTGCTGTCGCTGTGACCTCATCACGTGGCTCGCTTGTGATGTCGTCAGTGCAGTGCACTCACTTTCAACTGTGACTCAATTCATTTTCTTACAGGTTTGTTTATACGCTCGTTGCTGCAGTACCCGATGCATTATAGTGAGCCTTTAATGTGAATGAGCCCTTCCGAAACGTCGCGACACCAATACACTTGAGTGATAGAACTTAAATCGGCCTTCCTCCTCAGATGTGTAGCTAACCCAGCGGCCACTTTTTTTTTGGTCCGTGCATCCATAAAGATTTTTCGATTTTTCGATGCGTGTTCGATAAAGCCGAGTATGTGGAAAGAACCCAAAATTCATTATCGCGTGTGCGGCAAGAAATTTTGGCTAAACATTTTGAGTTTTGCGTTGGCGTTTAACTGTTGAGTATGACGTGAGATTTTGCAGGAATGTGCACATAGGAATTTGCGTCGTTTATTCACGCCAGGCCTAGAAACCATTTCCAGGTGACCTGTTCCAGCTTCCCTGCAGCACAGGGCAGCGAGAATGATTTTTTCCTGACGCTTTCATTTTGCGTTGCATATTCAGGCGTTTCTTCTGTTAACAGCCGTGATGTGCTTATCTCCTGGTAAACAAGTTGGTTTGTGCCAGAGGCCAGCAGAGTTACTCAAAACAAGAAACGGTAATTGTAAATACTAGTCGAGCGAACAATCAG